TAGGTATACACTAAGTTTCAGTCTTTCTAGTGTTAAATAGTAATTGGAGATGAACGAAATAATTAATCGATTAGTCCTGAAGTATTTCAGATAGAAGAAAATTGTATACGATCTTTTCTGTACAACTTTTATTTGAAGCATTTTTGGAAATTTTAAGAAAAAAAAGATCTTCCGATCGCTGTTTTAAAGATCCTTAGATGGGGTAACATTCTTATTCATTTCGTGTATAATAGTTTCATTTTTAGTTTCTTATCAGTTCAATTAGTTAATCCCTTTACTTGAAAATGATGAAAAGAGAACTATATAGTTTAATTGGAAATTGTATTTATGTTCGATTGAAGTTTGCTTACTATCTCCTCATTCTATAAGTTCACATCCCAACAATTTGTCATAATTATGAATATCGGTACTCACGTGGACCAAAGTTCGTGGGTTGGCGGCAACTTGACATCTGCGGCGCTCTTCTCCGGTGGCAGCTTGTAGTATTCATAGACGTAGGAGGCCGCGGGGTCATCGCCATGGCTAGTGACAGCCGATACCTGATGCTGTTGCTGAAGATTAAGCATCGCCGCGGTCGCTACCGAGAGCGGGTGCTCGCAGTAGGTCCGCCAGTCGCCCTCCATACCCTGCACCTGCACCTGCACGGCAGCTACCCTCTTGTGTACCTCGGAATCGGCGCCCTCGGCGCCGCTCTGCAGGGACTGCGCTGCTTGCGCAGCCGCCTCCTCCGCCCCCAGCTCTTCCTCCTCCTCTGCGTCGCGTTGCCCGGTCACGTATGCTGTCGCCGATTGTTGCTGGGAATTCTCCTCGTTCACGACGTTCGCGTCCTCCTCGCCGCGACTCCTCCGCCTGCAAAGAGAAAAGTTCAATCATTTACTTCGATTCGTACAGAATTCATTGTTAGATCAGATTCCGTTCTTCAGTGCTTTTATAAAATTCCGCTTTAAATGACTGGAGAAAGAACATACAACTGTGAAATCGCATGAAATCGCATGAAATCGCGTGATTTTTTATTTTTTTTAATAGCATTCTTCTAGCACGTTTGATAAATCGCGATGCAATCAATCTTGCACATAATTCCCATTTAAATGTAAGTACAAGTTATTCGAGATCTCGGTAGACTATTTTTCTCTGTAGTTTGATGTAAGAAGATTGATGTCTGTACTTCAGCCGCAATTTTTCACCCGTGTAAACTGCTGTGATATCAATTCCGATTTTCTTAATTAACACATCAACAGGATGACAGTCTGACTTTTCAATTCTTCTCACAATCCATCTTAATCGCTATTCATGTATCAATATGAATTACAATGCTTTTAAGGTAAGAATTTCCTAAACGGAGTTACGAATTCTGACTGCAGTTAAACGACCGTCCTTTTCTCCTCTGCTCCTTCGAGTACTAGCCCTTCGGATATGCCTGCGTGAACGTTTCCGCGTGTTCACCTCTTGATCGAGTAGACAGTAGCCGAGAGAGGGCATTTAATCCACGCGGCAACGCGATTCTCCTGGATTTCCTGGATAGATTCGCCGTGGAATAAACGGTCAAGGTACCCGGTGGCGATAAATCGCCGCCGAGTCCGTCGAATTTATCAATTAACGATAATAGCGTCGTGGTTAAGCCCCGCTGATGATTCCTCAATTTAGCAATGACCACTGGGACACGTAGTCGGGCTCGCCACACACACGCTGGCCGTCGCGATAATAATTTATCGTATGTCGCGATATCTAATCGCCTCTTAAGGTGGTTGCCGACGCTCGTGCAAGCCCGGCCAGCCGGCGGGGTATTTGTCACCGAAGCTCGTTTTCCGGGCAAGTTGTAGCATTTACACGTGTACAATTTAGTATGCTGGCTAATTATTTAGCGCTCATACGGTGATTCATTGTACCGGTTAAGTGTTAAGGATGTATAGGATATATACTTGAACAATGTTAAATTTGTTATTATAGATTCCTATTACTATTAAAAAGCTACCTGCAAAATTTTAAATCAATTCATGGGTTTATTGAAAAATTAT